CCAGGAGTCCAGGTGGGCTCAGGTGCAGAGCTCGGCGGCCGAGAGGACGCTGCTCCTGGGACGCGCCAGGATGGCGGTGCTCAACCTGTTCCGGCAGGCGTGCCAGCATCAGAGGCAGCCGCCGGCCCTGGACATCGAGGACACCGAGGGGCAGCTGGAGCAGGTGGGCCCCTCGGACCCCAAAACCCTCCCTCTGTGGAAACATTAGCGACGCCTTCTCTGCGTTAGGCACGGCCCTCTGTGGTCGGAACCCTTGCCCCAAGTGTGGGCTCAGCCACATCCAGGCTCTTGCCCAGGAGTCCTGGGGTCCTCTTGGGTCTGGTGATCTGCTGTGTGTCCAGAAAGCCGTGCCCCTCTGGAGCTCGCTCAGGGTGCTCTCTGCAGCAGGAAGGTGGGGGTTGACGCCAAGAGTTGCCCCTTTCTCCCAAGATCCAGCAATACAGACATTAGCCAGGTGTGGTGACACATGTCTGTAGTCTACTTGGGAGGCGGAGGCTGGAGGATCGACTGAGCCTAGGAATTTGAGGCTGCAGTGAGCTGTGATCGTGCCACTGCACTCTAGCCTGGGCAACAGAACAAGATCCTGCCTCAAAACAAAACAGAAACTAGCACAAACAAGTGGCAACATCTCTAAGACTCACTGTTAATTAATCCCTGACCCTCTCTGGCTCCCAGCTTCTCTGGCCTCATCTTCCCTGGAGAGGGTGAGTGGGGTTAGGTGGGTTGTATTGTCTTTCTTTCTGCACAATGGCGCCCCCAAGTGTCACTGGCTTTTCCATTTGTCCAGGTCTGCAAGGTTGCTGAATGTGTGGCATGGGCTGGGGGGAGGCTGTGTTACAGGCCCTTGTGTTGTTTCTAGTGGGTGTACCCCAAGCATACCCTTTTGGGAAGTGCAGGAGAGATAAAAGGAGGCATCCTACCTTTCCCCCACCCCGCCCCACTGCCGCTCTGCACCCGATGGCCAGAATTCCAACCTGACGCCACATCTGGGTCTGCCTGTGCCACTTCCTGGTGGGCCGGATGCACGGATGGCACTGTTCTCCTAAGTGTGGCCTGGGCATCCCATGGCACATGTAGGCTTGATGTGACCAGGCACGTCGGGCCCCTTTATGCATCTGTTTAAGGCTACACCAGTGCAGCCGCGGCAGTCAAGGACAGGACATCTGTAACAGATGTGACCAGTTGGTTGTAGACACCACTGCGTGAGCCCAGACTGTCCCTTTTTGAGATCAGCTCTACCCCTACAGGGGAGAAAGGCTCGGGGGGAGGAGAGTGTTGTGCCCCAGTCCCCACCCTGGTCTCCTGCAGCTGGGGTTCAGTGGCATGGCTGCATCTTCACCACAGCTATTATTCTCCCTGCTGCCCCCAACTTAGGACAAGGGTTGGCTTTACTTTTCCATTTTTGATGGAGCCAGAAAGTTTCCTTCTCAGAGGTTCCTGTAAGTACCAGCGTTGGGGTAAACCCACATGGCTGGAAGTTCAATATCAAGTTCTAGTTCTTGCAGTGGATCTGTGGTGTTCCTGAAGATCGTATCTATGAATGAGTTAATTAAAGCAAAAGCGCCACCCGTGGAGAGGTCACAGACCAATGAATATGATGGAGCCAATGAAAAAATAAAGCAGGCTGGCCACAGTGGCTCATGCCTGTAATCCCAGCACTTTGGGAGGCTGAGGCAGGAGGATCGCTTGAGCCCAGCAGTTGGTCTCACTATGTTGCCCAGCCTGGGCAACATAGTGAGACCATAACCTCTACAAATAAAGAAAATAAAGCCAACTGACATAAGTAATATTACGAGCTGAGTGGTGACACAGTGACAGCAGGCAGGACACTGTGCTATCTGACCACCAACCAGCTGGAGGGCTGGCCAGAGGCTTCTAAAACCCAGGACAGCTTAGCATCGGTCCCTACCTCTGGGAACGGCTGCCACTGTTCTTCCCCTGGGCACTGGACAGTGACTCGGGGCTGGGATGTCACTGGCCACCTGGGGTCTCACAGGTAAAGCTGTTCATCCAGGACCTGTCCGCCATGCTGGCCCGCCTTAACCAGCCCGAGCCTGCGGCCTCCACCTCCAGCCATGACCAGGTGAGCAGCGGGGAGGAGACCCCGGGGAGCGGTCCCACATTTCCCACGGGGGTAGGGAGCTGGGTGGCTCTCCTGAACTCCCGTCTCCTCACTGGAGAGATGGGAGGCTGAGCCTGCTCACTGTGCTGGGAGCCTCCACGAGGGACACACAGCAGGCACTCAATAAATGCAGGCCCCGATAATGAGGCGAGGGGGAGGACAAGGGGCAAGTGCGGGACCAACACTTACCTGTAAAATCGACCACACCAGGCCCTTCCTCCCAGGGTGGTCGGGTGCTTAGAGCAGGGTGGATCTGGGTGAGCGTCTGGTAAGTAAATATGGTCCAAGCACAGCAAGAGGGTCTCCGGGAAGCACTTGTGGGCAGAGTTCTCCCCGAGCCCCCCACTGGGAAGGCTGCGGGTGAAGGGCCTACCCTCAGGCTCCAGCTGCTGGGGCCACCCTGACCTCTCAGAACCTCCAGCGGGGGGGGGGGGGCACAGGAGCAAGGGCCGGGTGGCCTCTGACCCTAGACGTGATGGGGCGTCACCCCCTTCACAGCCAGACTGCAGCCGTGCCCTTGACCTTGGCCCCAGGCCCATCTCCCTCCCAGTCCACTCCCAGCGGCAAGCCTGTCCTGGGGGAAGGAAGGGGACCCACTGCCCCTGAGGCAGCTGACTTGTGCTGGGCCGCATTTTCCTTACCAAGGGAACCGGGCACGCTCTTGACTCACCCGCCACGTTGGCTGGGATTTTAGTGCCTGGGTCTCTGCCTTCCAACTCCCCGTGTAGGTAGACTCTGCACTCCTGGCCCACCAGTGGTGCTCAATAAAGATTTATTACGTTAAAAAACCCATCAGGGGAACCTGAGGCACTCAGGGCTCAGACCTGTGTAGCCACGACCTCTGAACCCAGAACACTTGGAAGCAGCAGCAGCTGAGTTGCCAACTCAGGTCTTGGCCTGCCTGGTTTTGCTGGCGAACTCCTACACAACCTTCAAGACCCTGCTCCGATGACGTCTCTGTTCGAGGCAGAGGCAGCTGCTGCCCCCCCGTGGCCATGCAGCCCTCCTCGTCAAGGCACCGGCTCCTTTGGGAGCTCTCCCGGTGCCGGGCGCACAACAGTGCGCTGGAAACGGCAGCTGACGTCCAGCTAGGCGAGTGAGCAGCCGGGGCCGGGTCCTCACATCCTCTTCCTCATCCTGCCCTTCTTGGAGGGGCTGCCGCGGCCGAAAGCACCCTGCCGCAGCTCCTGGACACGGCGGCGGTTGCGGGCCGAGAGCTGCTTGAGACCCCCGCGCTGCAGGAAGCGCAGCTTCTGGGCCCGGCGTCGCTGCTTCAGGATCTGCTGCTTGGTTCTGAGCTCTGAGCGCACGCGGCCTGCAGGGGCGCCCGGGGCGCGGGGCTGGGAGGCACCTGCCAGGACAGGGAGTCAAGGCTCAGCCTCCCAGGAGCTCCCAGACTCTTCCCCTGCCCACTCCTGTTCCATGCTCACTGCTGTGGCCCGTGTGTACACAGTAGGTGGCTAATAAAACTTTAGGCAGCCTCATATAATGGTCAGTGGCATGCAACCTCAGGCTAGAACTGCTGAGGCTCAAGTCACAGCTATGACCTCTTAGACCTTGGTCAAGTCACTGAACCGCCCCACGCCTCAGTTTCCCCATCTGTGAATAATAGCACCTACCTCGAGGGTCCTACTGAAGAGTAAATGAGCTCACTTGCGCAAAGTGCTCAGGACAAGGTCTGGCCCATAGTAAGAGCCTTTTAGGTGTAACTGTTATTTAACTGTCCACCAAAAGTCTACACGGTATCCCTATCATGTGCTGGGCCCTGGGGTCTGAGCAGACCTGTGTCTGTCTCCACAGACTGCATGCTCTAGGCTTGGGCTTGTTTGACTGAATCTTCCTTCAGGCAGGAGAGGACTCAGAGGCCAGAGAGGGGAAGGGACTTGTCCGAGGTCACACAGCGAAGTGGCAGCAGAGAGGTCAGCGGCTGTGCCCCAGCTAGCCAGGCCTGTGCCAGGGCAGTGTGTTCTCCTAGTTCTCCAGAAAGACAAGGACCACCTGCCTCCCACCAAGCCTTGTGTCTTCCTCTTCCTCTGTGCTCCCTCTCCCCGACAGGCTCCTCCCCTCCCACAATGTTGGCCTTCCTGGGGCTCCCAGGAGGGTGACCATTAAGGTGGCCTCAGGCGTCACCTCCAGGACAGAGCACGGGGAGAACCACTGCTTCTTCCCGCAGCGCACAGGCCTCCCCTCTCCCTGGGCCCAGCCCAGTCATTGCGTGTCCCTGCCCACAGTGGCAGCTGCTGCTCTACCCAGGTAATAACGGGCTGAAAAGTGACGTGTGGGTGGATCCCCAACCTCCAGGCCCTCTAGGGGGTGGGGACCCACCCACAGAGACAGAAAGAGACACCGAGAGGGAAACAGACACACAGAGAGAGGCAAAGAATGAGAGATGGGAAGAGACTGTCCACAGGCGGGGCGGCGGGCAGACCCAGTCTGAAGGAGGGACACAGACACCATAGGCCCAGGGGGAAGAACTCAGGCTCAGACACAGGAGTGTGGTGAGCAGCCCCAGGGGGTGGGGGAGACCAGTGGGGCTAAGGCCAGCCAAGAGGCCCTGGGGCATGTCCCAGACACCCCTCTCCCCAGGAAGGCCCCAGGTGGGAGAGCAGGCAGCTGCTAATCCAGGCTGTCACTGCCCTCACGAGCCACTTCCGTTTCCCCGCCAGTAAAGTGGGCATCCTCGGTTGTCTCGTGCTTCCACACCCCACTGTGTGGCGTGTCCAGGACAGAACTGTCCCCACCCAGCAAGGCGGAGCCCCTCCGTGACAGCAGCTCACACACAGAGGTGGGGAGCAGGGGCGGAGCCAGAAGGACACTCAGCTCCAGTCCCCTCCCCTCAGGGCAGGTCAAAGGTCGTGAGCTCGGAGGGCCACTGCAAACAGGCACTGCCACCCCCTGGCCTCACTGCCCCTCGGGGATGACCCAGGGCTTTGCACACGGTGGGTGCACCCCGGGGCCGGTCCATGCCCTGGCCATTCAGCATAGGTCCTGGCAGAGAGCTGGCTTCAAACCCCACCTCATCCTGTTGCCGGCCAAGTGACCCAGGCCAGCTCCAAGAGGACCATTTCCCAGGTGGCCAGACGTGCCCCTGCCAGCACACATTTAGAGAAAGAGCCTTCCTCAACCTCCCAGTGACCGCCTCCTCCCTGAGCCAAAGCCGCCTTCTGATTGCCAGCTTTGGCAGTGAACTTCCTGACAGCCCTGCTAGAACACCACGGTGAGTGGGCCCACAGATCTTTCCATGTTCACTTTGTCAGGTCGAAGCACACGCAACTGCCATTTTGCAGGTGAAAAATGGCCGAACAGCAGCACCTGCACAGGGCTGCCCCTCGTGTGTTCTCTGGGTTTTGGGACAACTGGCTCAATTAGGTGATGGGTCACCTCCCCTAGGTTTTCACCTGAAAAGTGGGAGTGGTCCGGGCGACACACCCGAGGGGCGCAGTGCCGCCCAGCCCGTCAGGTGGTGCCAGTGGCCATCAGAGGCCAGGACAAGTCCGCTGAGGGCCAAGGGGGTGGGGGAAGCACCGCGTGTGAGGGGGCTCCCGAGGAACTCGAGGCTCGGCAGCGTCCAACTGACCCAGCTCTGGGGCGGGGGGCGGCCCCCAGCCTCTCCGTGCCTCAGTCTCCCCCGAACCTGACCACAGTTGCCCGGCCCATCCACAACCCACACCCCCTACCCTGGCTTACCCTGGCCACGGCCGCGCTTCCCACTTCTTCGCTCTGGGCCTCGCGGCTCAGATGTCCCTTCTTCCTCCGAGTCGCGATCCTCGATCTTCTGTTTCTGCTTCCACTTTTGGTAGCTGGGAAGCCGCGTTAAAGAAACTGCGTGTGTCCCCGGGCCCGGAGCAGGCTCCGCCCCC